GCAGCGATAGCTGCCATAGCTGTAGTTAGTAGTGAGTGTGTGTGTGTGTGTTCGAGTGTTAGAGTGATGCGTGTGGGATATCCAGGGTGATCCAGTGTAAGTGAACAGTGAGATGTTCGGGCGCTGAAGTCGCCTTAGCCAATTAAGAGTGAACTCGTGTCTGAAAGCCATTTCTCTGAGTTTTGAGTGGGCGCATGTCGCCAGTATGCTGCGTTGCTGTTTACGTGCATGAAAAGTGTGTTTGAGAACGAGTCTGATTGCAATTCGGGTGAAGACGGTAACGTTAATTTGCCCTGAATAAAAAAATTATACAACGAACGAACGCACAGGCATCGGGAAGTGCACTTACACACAGCGATAAACAACAGCATCCCCATGTGTTCTATTCGGGTGATCGATCCCCCGGCAGGTTACCCCCAAAAAAAAGCAGGACCCGCACTCTTGCAAGCAAGCAAGCAATGTCCTTTGATGCACACCTTCTCTGAATCCCAATGGTCATTCTGTCATTCACTTCTCCTTCACCCTTGCGAAGGGACGCGCTTTTCTACCATACATAGCAATCGCAGCAATTGTGACCACGCCCAGAGCAATTTTCAGGCCAGATGCAGCCATGATAACCCCCACATTTCATTCAGTCTGGGGAAGTTGATGTCGGAGCAAGATTGCTGCTATATTGAACTCCTCTTCGGGGAAAGATCGATATCCTTCAGGTCCAGTTCTCCTGACAATTATGCCACACTGCCAAAGGCACATACATCTCTCTTTCTGTATTTGACTTGCCATCTATGTATAGTGCAGTGTGCACACTATGGAGATGGAGATGGAGATGCAGGAGATGGAGATGGTGAGGGAGATAGAGATGGAGAGGGAGAGGGAGAGGGAGATGGAAAGGGAGAGGGAGAGGGAGATGGAGAGGGGGAGATGGAGATGCAGGAGATGGAGATGGAGACGGAAATGCAAGAGATGGAGATGGTGAGGGAGAGGGAGATGGAGAGGGGGAGATGGAGATGGAGATAGGAGATGCAGGAGATGGAGATGGAGATGGGGAGATGGAGCACCCCACGTTGGCCTGAGTTGCTCTAGTGACATGGATACTTGCCGTGAGCTGATCCAAAGGTAGACATGGCTCGCTTGCTGATTGCACCTCTGGCAGCAGGCTTATTCTGTCAACAACGTCCTTAACAAATGCCGGAAGATCTCCAAGCCGTTCCCTCCTATCAACATTCCTGATCTGATACACAAGGAAGGAAAGTTGAACATCTCCTTCAATGATTGGCAAATATACCCTTCCACATCATACCGCTACCTTCTTTCCTCCCCTTCCCCCTCTACCCCCCCCGCCCTTCCCCCCCTGCCCTCTTCCCCCCCCCACACAAAAAAAAAAAGGGAAACACAATGGACCCCCCCTCATCATGACTAACCTGTATGGGACTTGAAAGATAGCGTGTATACATTTCTGCCAGCATGCATTGCGTTCACGTGAAAACTACTGTCTCAACAACCAACCAACAGTGTGGGAAAAAAACTTGGAAGCGATCAATCAATCCAATACAGGCGGCCGCCACCATTACGACTCGGTTTCCCACACTGTTGTCAATGAATCCAATACAGCCGTATTACAGCGTGCATTACGAGTTGTAATGGTGGCGGCCGCCTATGGCGCAAAAAACTTTGAAGCGGTCACTCAATCCAATGGCAACAGAGAAGGGTTGTCGAACTTTTTTGTCATAACCTGCAAAAGAACCTTAGTCAAAAATTACAAATCATAATTAAAATCATTGAACCTGATTGACGTGTAACCACCTGCAATTGCAGAAGAGGAGGAGGAGGGACAGGGTAACAAGTTTGCAAGAAAAAGATTCATTCGCCTGTGTATTAGACAAGTCATGTATTGATGTATTGTAGGCAAGAAAAGAATCCTCTTCACCAGGTTCACCTGTATTAGATGCAGACGAGTCCTCTATAGGAGAGAAGAGAGAAAGCAAGTCATTCACCTCTGCAATTGGGAGAGATGGGAGAAGAGAGGGCAACTCATTCACCTCTGCAATTGGAGTGCAGCGACTAGTGGACAACAAAAGATTAATTCGCCTGTACATATTGGAGAAGGCCTACCTGCAAAAAAAAGGAACAGGGAAGAGTTGATGGCGTTCAGGTCCGCCCAGACCAACCCAAGATGCTTCAAATGCTGGGCAAACGGTCATTTGCGCGCAAATCAAGCATCATGGCCGCTGAACAAGGACACAGTGGGAAACCGTCGGGCTACGAGTGACTGATCTTAATAATACTCTTTTTTTTCCAAGTTTTTCGGCAACTTCACGACGTGCTGCGCTGTGCATGTGCGCGTCCGTGTGCTGTGCCCATGGTTGTCATGAATGATGTTATTGCTTCTCAGCCAAACTCGCCTGCTCGAATGTCAAACCAGGGCGGATCTAGGTCTGTGGTGTGTGGACAATCCGCCGACTACAGGGGGTGGGTGTTGGACCGCTACCACCAACTGCCTCACTTCCCTCATACTCACACTAGAATCCGACCGCTATCACCGCATAAGGGACGCTTTTTTTTCTTCTTTTCTTTTTTTCGCTCTTCATGTGCTGTTCATGGAACAGACGCCCTCACTGAGGGCTGAGGGTGGGCGCAATCTCACTACCACCTCAAAGAATGTATCTGATGGCTATCACGGCTTTAGGGAAGATTTTCTTTTCCCCCTTCTTTTTTTTGTTTTGTTTTGTTTTCTTGTTTTCTTCTGGATGCAACTGCCCCAGCTCGGCAAAACTCAGCGTGCAGCAAAATTCAGGTTCGGCGAAAACAGGATCAGAGGTAGTGAGTGGTTTAAGGAAGAGGCATGATGCTCGATCTCTTTGATCTAGTAGTCTGTGAGGGGACAAAAAAAAAAATAAAAAAATTCTTCAAAAAATTTACAGGCTAGGCGTTCAAGGAGAACAGGAGAACATCAACGCACCAGCGAGCACTACCGCAAGGGACGAGAACAGAAAGGGGGGGGAAGGGGGGAAGGGGGGAAGCGGGGAAACACCCTCCAGCAAATTATAATTGAAAGTAGACTGGGAAAGGAAAGGAAGGGCGATGCAGGCCGGCCTCCCAAGCTCAGATCGGACAGCCACAACTGTCGAAATACAGACCCAGGTTCGAAACCAGAACACTGGAAATCAGATCACAGTGGGAAAATGGACAGAGAACAAAATCAAATGCAGAAGTGGAAAACATCACTTTCCCAGCATTAGCGGGGGGAACATGGGCAAATGGGCAAGGCCCACACACACACACACACACACTTGCACCGTACCTTGTACTTGAACTCATACCCAAAATGCTGAACCCTCCTCTTCGACAAACAGTCCCAGGAAATGCCATCGGTTGCGTCCAGCAATGCCTGCATAACAAACACGCAAGCGGATCGACACTTGCAGCTTCAGTACGGTTGACTTGGTGTCATTCAGTATTATGGTTATAGACCTTAGGTTATATAATTGTCACATAAGAGAGAGAGAGAGAGAGAGAGAGAGAGAGAGAGAGAGAGAGAGAGAGAGAGAGAGAGAGAGAGAGAGAGAGAGAGAGAGAGAGAGAGTTCAAAATTTAATAGCATTCCTGAAATTTTCTGGTCGTTTTTTTTGTTTTAATTTCAAAATTCTAATGCATTCCTTTCCTGGTCTTTTTAACCGATGGGACAGGTTGCATCCCTGCCGACCGCTGACCGCTGACCGTATTGCAGCTGACCAGTAGGGCCGACCAGTCAGAAAACAACCATCCACGGATTTTTTTTCAAATCTGAGTTGGGGGCTGTATTGCGCTTGCTGAGAACAGCCCGAATCCACTGAGAAACTTTTGGGGATTGGGGTTGGAGCATAGGGGGGGTATAGGGGGGTATAGGGTTGATATACGGGGTATTGGGGGGGGGTAATGAGGGTGTTGGGGGCGGTTTGGGGGTGTATGGGGGTATTGGGGCCGCTATGGGGGTGTTGGTGGTGTTATTAGGGGATCTGGACCCTCATTTTTTTTTATTTTTTTTATTTTTTTTGCGGGGCGCCGACGACTCCCGACTGGTAGGTGCCAACCAGCTGATCAGTCAGCGAGTCGGCAGCCGACCAGTCAAGGGCCGCTGACCGTCGGGGGGTGCAACCCTGCAATGGGAACCACTTTGAACCTGTTATCCATGAACTTCAATGAAAGCAATTTACTTGAGTTAAACCACCAGTACTCGGCACAGCTATCGCCCGTGGAAAAAATATAGAGTAGAAACATGTCTTAATCGGATGAATCTGGGCGGTCCTGTAGCGGCCTGTACGTTCCCTAAAATTGTGCCTTGTTAACGGGCACAACTTTAAGAAGTACAGGTGGTTTTTAAATCTTCATGCCTTGAATAGGTGAGGACTACTGCCTAACTTGGAAGTTAGAACTCAGGTCAGACCACCAGTGAAAGACATACGAAACGTCCATTGTGACCCACACTATCACACGTTTTTTGGGATGCAATGAACCCAGCTGTACTCTGTATATTGTCTCCTCTACTACTCGCTCGTGTCGCCCCTACCACACAATCACACACGTTTTTCGGCCTTCTTTCGTCCCCACCCGTCTGCTCCCTTTCTTCTGTCCCGCGCTGTGCTCTGTATCTTGTCTCTTCTACTACTGGCTCGTGTCGCCCCTACCCCTACTGCTCCCATGGTCCCGTCATCTCTACCTAAGCTCTCCCACGACCTGCGCACTCTCCCCTGCTCTCCCACCTCCCGCCTTCTCTACGTTCAGGCCGTTTCTCCGCCCTCCACTGTAGTTTCTCCGCTTGCCTCTAGCTTTCTCACTTCCTGATTTCGTTTTTTCCTCTCTCCCACCATCTCTCCCCTGCTCTCCCTCCCTCTGATCTGCTTCCTGACCTGTTATCGACCCGTTTCCGTTAGTTTTGCCTCTGACAGTACATCAAGAGTACGCCACGCGCTCGGACAAGGGTTCGGACGAAGGTTGTTCTTCCGATGAAAGTTGATGATCCCACAATGTTACTTCTAGTATGTATTCCACTAGATAGAGTTGCTTTGCACGCGCAGCCTTCCCCTGATGATGGCCACTTCGGCGAGGTGGTGGCCGAAACATGTCGTGGGATAATCGCCGGACTCGCTCCATGATCAATTGTTGTATATCTTTTGGAAGCGGGCTTAGCGGGTTCATTTTTTGCGCTATTTTTCGAATCAGTCTCTCTCATCCTTCTCTTCTTACCCCCTCCCCCCTTTTTTTCTTCGGTCCATCTCCATCTTTTTTCTTCCTATTCTTCTCTTTACTTATTTGAAGTTATTTCCCTCTCCTTCCCATTCTTCTCCTTCCTTATTTCCCTCCATCTCACCTGCCACGTGTGTACATGATGCCGAGTTGTTGATCCTATCTACATGCACTTGTTCGATCCTCGTGCTCGACTGTCGCGAGAGAGCACTGTCGAATTCTACGTCAGTCACATGAGAAGCTCGTCTATGTCAAAGTACAAGTAGTCATAGTGCAGAATCAATGTCTCCAAAAATCGTTCGTGAAACCATACTCATCGTTTGTGTGGTATCCCAACGTCCAATGCACAGAGAAGAAGAAGAGGAGAGAGGGAGAAGAGACTTAGGGTGAGAGAGAGAGAGTGAGAGAGAGAGAGAGAGAGAGTTTCCGCCATCATTATTGAGCACAGAACTCTCGCTTCCCACTTCCTCTTCCAGGCGTTGTCTCCCCACTCGCCACGTCAGCAATCAGTTCTCCCCCGACGATCTCTGACAATAAGCAGGTTACGGCGGGGCGCCCATCCTCCAGCCACGTCAGCAGCAGCCAAGGAGGAGGATGGCGCAGATCCTTCCTCCGACACGATCAACCAGGTAAGCTTCCCTTCCTCTATCGAGCCAATCTCACAGCCCCGATCCTCCTCCTCCTCGGCCGCACTCCATCAGTGTTGGAATCAGTATGGGAATTGGCCACGTCAGCATAATCGCCCTCAAGACTGGCACCGCCAACAGAGAATGGCGCCAGCATACAGCTCTGGCAGAAGTCTTGCGTCGTCGCACCACCGTCAAGCAGCATGCACACAAGACTGAATGTCGTCCAGCAGGGGCTGGGTCAACCTTATAGTGTTGATGCATTTTGACCAGAATCTCGTCTCTCAGATACGATGGCCCAGATCGTTCGTCAGCCAATGGCCTGGATTTCATACAGTTGCAGATTCCAACGTGTCCCACTTGGACTTGATTCCTTCCAGATACCTGCAGAGACAACCAGAGGTGTGTATCTGATCTACGGACGAGGCTGGAATTAGGTTGACTTTGACTCGTGGACCTGAATTCCCGAGCTGAGGTTGACCGTTGACTTTCCCAAGGTCAACTGTCTCGCGTTGGGCCTCTGAAGGCCGGTTGTGGCCTTGCCTCTTGGGTGCCTCACAGCATCAGGTCTTCGTTCAATGGCCCGGATTTTCGCGACTTGGGGCGTCACTTTTTTGTTACCCCCGTTTCAGGCCGTTGACCAAAAGTGATGGCCCTCAGCCCACGGCTGATGCAGATTTGAGCTGAGTTATTACAGGGATCGCGGTTAGCGTCATTTTTTTTTTTCCCATCCGATTTCATCACGTTTCCCATTCCCGATCTGCATAGTAACAGTTACATGTCCGTAAAATTCAGCCACAGGAGATGGCTAAAATAATAAAACTTAAAAAAAGTTATAAAACAATGAAATTCCATATGCATAGAGTCCATGCTACCGCTCCATGCATAGTGAATTACACACATTTTATTGCTGTTGTGTGCAGCAACAGTCAGATGTCTGGACTCAGATCGCAGTCAGATCATATGCCGGAAAAGTCCAGAATTGCTTCTACCATTCAGCCTTTGAAAAAGGAGAGGTATATACAGTACTATCGACTTGTACTAGTCTTGTAGTCTTGTGCACTTCACTTAATCCATCACATATTGAGCTCATCATTATTAATTATTTAATCCATCAGAGTTTTGAAGTTTGAAAACTCTGAACTCATGATCTGTTCATTTCACAAAAATTGTGGATGTACCATTCATTCAGCCATTACCGGACACAGGTACGTCTCATCAAAAAAATGATCTAATTTTGTACTTTTCATCAAAACCAGGAAATCAAATATAGGGCCTACCTTCTCTTCTTCTGGTGTAATGAAGTCAGTGTGAAGGAACAGGCCTGGGATGTCAACTTCATCGCTCGTTCGGCAAACATGGCATGGTGGAGGGACCTGCTAAGAAGCAAAAGAAAGCCAATCACCAATGTTATGAATCGGCAAACAGAGAACGGAACATTCAGTACACTCGTGCTCACCATCCCTCTCTGATGCAACACCCC